TATATATATATATATATATATATATCCTTATTGCCTCTATATGCCCGATTCCATCCATTTCTGTTAAACGCGAACCTTTACCCTTAAATTTTTGACCCACTGTTCTCCGTCTCACAGATTCATGAAACTTCTTAGCTGCGATCTCTTATTCTCTTTCATGGGTACTCTATCTTGATTTGTTAGTCTGTCGCTCTACGCGCAAGATCGGCGTTCTCTTACAATTAAGATTTATCTTCCCCTCTATTCGTCTCCTTTCACTTTGAAAAGCTCAGATGTGTCTCACACTTGAATGTTGTAATCATGCCAGCGGTTTTAAGCTTAGTATAACTGTCTGTTCTGGATGGGGTTAAAGGTAGGGAAGTTCGCTCCATCGATGACCCGTCCGTAACATGTAACCCACAGTCTACACCTCACCGTGGAGCACTTGTTTTCTTATCCGTATTCTATCGACACTATTTTGTTCTTGTTCAAATAAACTCGCCCCTTCCATCCCTTTGCTAATTGCTGTACCCTATAGGCTCCATACAAAAACGACTCGTCATTCATTCTGAGAGACTATCTTCACACCAACTTTCAGTTATTTTACAGGAAAAAATGCTGCTTAACTCTGTCTCTCTATCTGTTTCCCCTCATACCTAAATCATCCTCACCTTTAGGCTCATAATTAACAAGCTAGTTCTCGATTGAATATTTCTTTCACCATCCCATGGACAATATACTCTTAGATCATATGGTTTCCCTCGTTTCACTGCAGACCAATTGCTAACAAAAATGTATTCGCTTAACGACTATTATTATATTTGGTGACATGTGTAGCACATGCTCCAACTGACCTAATCTGTGAAGATCGACTATTTGCCCCATTAGGCGATCGTGATTACCTAGAACTGCACCTAACTGTAGCATTGCATGTCTGATTGTCCCTTCAGGCTCATGCAGCACAACGTAGACAACGGTGTTTGAACACCGACAATCTACCTTGGCCTCTTCCTGGAATGACTAGGTATCTGCACCACATAGCAGCATTGGTGAAACTGCTTCAGCTTCACATACTGGCAAATGTCGCGACGACGCCACAGCTGGTGCCAACCGAGCGTAATGTGTGTCAACACTACATCCCTGAAGCGTCAACCGGGGGCAGTAGATGTGAAGTACAATCGGGAGAATCACGCAATTAAAAAGTTTGTCTAGTTTTTGACCCAAAATTACTGATAAAAAGTTGTATAGCCTGATGTGGTTTATAATATCAGGTAACACTTTTGAGTTCATAAGTGCAATCTGTTTGCGTTTCAACAATTATCTACTGTTGTGACCTACATGTGTTTTTCCTTTCAGACTTTCAATAACACCGTCGAAGGTTCAAGTGAACGAGACCTTGCATGAGGTGACTGTTGTCTCATGCAAAGCAAGGCCAAATTTTGTCGCGTCTATGTCTATGAAAACTAAGCACCCGATCGTTCAATCTGATGAAATCGCCCACCATGAGTTCCTATTTGGTGGAATAGCTTACTCCGTTAGCGTTTGCACTCTGTTTCCGCTGTACAAAACTATTTTCTTTCAACAGCTCGACGGAATACCATGGATACAGGCTTTTTGTCGACTAAAACAAGAGGGAATCCGAATGGTGTATCGTGGCGTTCTTCCACCTCTTTTACAACGCTGTTCTTCCGGAGCTGTAATGTTTGGTGTACAAAGTTTGTCCGAGAGAACTTTACACAGATCACAGTTTTCCAGGAACCTAACTCCTGGTCAGGCAAGAGGTTTATCGGCTCTCTTAGCTGGATTTTGCGAGTCACCACTCATGCCCTTTGAACGTGTTCAAACTCTACTTCAAAACCGGAACAATTTTCCTTCCTATCGAAACACATTTCATACTCTCTCTTCGCTTGCCACAAATCATGGAATATGGGAGCTATATCGTGGTCTCACACCAATTTTGTTGCGTAACAGTTCTGCTAATGTGCTTTATTTCTGTGGTCACAAGTGGCTAAATGATATCCGAGTACATCCTGTGAACGAAAGTGCCTTAGACCGTGGTTTGTGGAACTTTGCTCTCGGTGGCCTTCTTGGGGGCACAATTGGTTTCATAACCTTCCNGAACGTGATAAAAACCCGGATGCAATCTAGTGTTGGTGGCAAATTTGAAACTCTGCACACGGTCCTCGTCTCCCTTGTCTACCACCGTGACGGGCGTCTAGATATTGCCCGTCTTTTTAAAGGTGGACCGGCAAATTTTATGCGCTCCATCCTATCCTGGGGTATCATTACAATGACTTATCATTTTCTTTTGGAGTCGTACTCAGGAATAAAGCCGTGATCAAATCTCTGTTGACTTTATTCCTGCCTGCGATGTTCTGCTCCAAAGGTCCTCCGGAGTACCTATTCGCACACAAGTCACTGGAGTTATTGAAATCACTAACTTCTTATTCTTCTCGTTCTCCCAGGCTCCTGTTTGGGGTCCTGCTCTGTACATTCATCGGTGCTGCTGATTTTGCTCTACCCGTGTCTCAGTGCATAGTTTAGTCTCCGATATTTTCTACTGCTAGGTTTCTGATTTTTGAGATGTCTTGTCATAATACACTGAATGCACTGTGAGAAGAATCTTTTTCTTCTGCAGTTATTGCGGGATGGACCATATTCTTATTTGGTGCA